TTGAGTCCAGCCTGCACTGGAGTGGCACGGCCCGCACCGCGGACCTCGCTTGAATGAATGAATGAATGAATCAAAGGGGCCGCGTGCGGATTGATGAGTTTGGAGACGACTCGTGTGGAATGTGAGTAACGTCAGCGCACCAGCGCACTTTTGAACATTGAACAAGCACGCACTGAATTTAATGCGTGGATTGTAAATTGAACAAGACAAAGTTGGAAAGTTTTGTAAAGAAACGTGAAGAAGATGACAAAGTCTGGGATCGCGTCTTACATTCAGACAGAAGACATGTTTTATTGTCGATGGTAGAGACAGCACGAACAAAACACACGATCACAGAAACAATAGAATGCAAGTGTATTATACAGAGCGGAGGCATGGAGACCTCCAATCAGCAGCTTCCACGGTGTGCTTGTAGCTTGGCCTTCAGATAGACACAACAAGGGAAAAGTACTGGCTTCTGCACATTGATAGATTGATGAGTTTAACTTTAACAAAAGTTGCTTCAAAGTGTTATGAAATCTCATAAACGGCAAAGTCCCGCAGACGGCGCTGATAAAATGAATGAAGCCGAAGGAGCACGGAGCCTACGCCAAGAAGAGGAATTGGACGCAACCACACAGGATAGTGTGGACAGCGAAGCTAAAGTTGTTGGAAAAGACTTTAAAAGACTCTGTGCTAGTCGGAGAGGAAAGTTGGGTGTTTGTACAAGACGCATGAATGACATCAAAGAACTCTTCACAAATCCTCTTGTCTCACCAAATACGGACTATTTAGCAAATCAATATGAACATTTTAAAGTGTCATTAAAGGAATTTGAAGAATGTCATAAATCTGTGCAAAGACTTTTACCTCCAGAAGTACAAGAAAATGAAACTATGGATTGGTACGAACCAAAAATGGAAATATTTAATGCATTTATGGAGAGCACAAAAACAAGAATAAAGGCTCTAAATGACCCACAGATCTTAATTGAACCCAATGACAGTGCATCAAATGTATCAAGTGGATCAAGACACTCTGTGAAAACGAAAATGTCATACATGTCAAAGAGGTCTGTAAAATCATATGGAAGCTCAAAATCACAAGTCTCCAGTGCTATAAGTGAGCGTCTGAAAGTAGCCTCAGAGAAAGCTGCTATGGAGGCACGCATGCACTGCATGAAAAGTGTGATTTTTGTCTCTTTTCGGCCCTGTTTATTACTGTGAAACTTCTGTGATTCGGCTGTTGACGGTAGTTTGTTGTCCCCTCCTCCCTCCTCCACAGGAGGCTTTAACATGTAAATGGGAATGCTGTGAGCTATACAAATGCTAATCAGGGTTGAGGGGGAGCACAACTTGATCCAAGCTGCACAGTCTGCAGCATGGATCAGGTCAGCACACACGCACGCACGCACGCACGCACGCACGCACGCACGCACGCACGCACGCACGCACGCACACACACACACACACACACACACACACACACACACACACACACACACACACACACACACACACACACACACACACACACACACACACACACACACACACACACACACACACACACACACATCAGATAAATATTTCATCATGATTGATTATAGCTTGTCATGTCAAAATCAATTAAATAAATCTAATAGGACAAAAGACATGTTGAAAGTGTAAGTGCTCATCAAAGGATATATGTATGTACAGTACAGACCAAAAGTTTGGATTTTTTATTTTTATTCATGACATGAAAGATGTGTTCTATTCTCGGTTCAAATTATATATATATATATATATATATATATATATAAACTAGGGCTGTCAAACGATTCATTTTTTTAGTTGATTAATCGCATAGTAATGGTGAGTTAACTCACGATTAATCGCATGTTTAACATGTTGGGTAAGTTACTTTGAAAAAGTAATTAGTTATAGTTACTAGTTACTTCTACCAAAAAGTAATTGACTTACTGAGTTACTCCACTATAAAAGTAACTAGTTACCAGTAAAAGTAACTATTGCGTGGTACCGAGCTTTAGCTGGCTGTAATTTAGGATAACTTCTAAGTAGATTAATTGTTGCAACAACCCCACCCTATTTTAGTATGATATGTTAGTTTAGGGAACTGTCCTGCAGGAAAACAGGTATAAGACAGGCCAAGGTGCCATTTAATTAAATTGCAATTAGTTGTATCCATTGATCAAACAAACAGATTACAAAACTTGCAATTGAAAGAGACTATTTTAAAATAATTAGTTCCCAAAGACACACACGAGCAACACTCGCGCCTGACAGTCAAGAACCAGGGAAAATACAGTACGCAGAGCGCGCCTGACAGACAAGAACCAGGGAGAATACAGTACGCAGAGCGCGCCTGACAGACAAGAACCAGGGAGAATACAGTACGCAGAGCGCGCCTGACAGACAAGAACCAGGGAGAATACAGTACGCAGAGCGCGCCTGACAGACAAGAACCAGGGAGAATACAGTACGCAGAGCGCGCCTGACAGACAAGAACCAGGGAGAATACAGTACGCAGAGCGCGCCTGACAGACAAGAACCAGGGAAAATACAGTGCGCAGAGTGCGCCTGACAGACAAGAACCAGGGAGAATACAGTACGCAGAGCGCGCCTGACAGACAAGAACCAGGGAGAATACAGTACGCAGAGCGCGCCTGACAGACAAGAACCAGGGAGAATACAGTACGCAGAGCGCGCCTGACAGACAAGAACCAGGGAAAATACAGTACGCAGAGCGCGCCTGACAGACAAGAACCAGGGAAAATACAGTGCGCAGAGTGTGCCTGACAGACAAGAACCAGGGAGAATACAGTACGCAGAGCGCGCCTGACAGACAAGAACCAGGGAGAATACAGTACGCAGAGCGCACCTGACAGACAAGAACCAGGGAGAATACAGTACGCAGAGCGCGCCTGACAGACAAGAACCAGGGAGAATACAGTACGCAGAGCGCGCCTGACAGACAAGAACCAGGGAAAATACAGTGCGCAGAGCGCGCCTGACAGTCAAGAACCAGGGAAAATACAGTACGCAGAGCGCGCCTGACAGACAAGAACCAGGGAAAATACAGTGCGCAGAGCGCGCCTGACAGACAAGAACCAGGGAGAATACAGTACGCAGAGCGCGCCTGACAGACAAGAACCAGGGAAAATACAGTACGCAGAGCGCGCCTGACAGACAAGAACCAGGGAAAATACAGTGCGCAGAGCGCGCCTGACAGACAAGAACCAGGGAAAATACAGTACGCAGAGCGCGCCTGACAGACAAGAACCAGGGAAAATACAGTGCGCAGATTGTGCCTGACAGACAAGAACCAGGGAGAATACAGTACGCAGAGCGCGCCTGACAGACAAGAACCAGGGAAAATACAGTACGCAGAGAGCGCCTGACAGACAAGAACCAGGGAAAATACAGTACGCAGAGCGCGCCTGACAGACAAGAACCAGGGAAAATACAGTGCGCAGATTGTGCCTGACAGACAAGAACCAGGGAAAATACAGTGCGCAGAGCGCGCCTGACAGACAAGAACCAGGGAGAATACAGTGCGCAGAGCGCGCCTGACAGTCAAGAACCAGGGAAAATACAGTACGCAGAGCGCGCCTGACAGTCAAGAACCAGGGAAAATACAGTGCGCAGATTGTGCCTGACAGACAAGAACCAGGGAAAATACAGTGCGCAGAGCGCGCCTGACAGACAAGAACCAGGGAGAATACAGTGCGCAGATTGTGCCTGACAGACAAGAACCAGGGAAAATACAGTGCGCAGAGCGCGCCTGACAGACAAGAACCAGGGAGAATACAGTGCGCAGAGCGCGCCTGACAGACAAGAACCAGGGAGAATACAGTACGCAGAGCGCGCCTGACAGACAAGAACCAGGGAGAATACAGTACGCAGAGCGCTGAGTATGTGAACGGAGCAATCGCTTGCTGCTGTTATTATAATAGATAGATCCATGCTTGCTGCTGTTATTATAATAGCTAGATCCATGCTTGCTGCTGTTATTATAATAGTTAGATCCATGCTTGCTGCTGTTATTACAGATCCATGCTTGCTGCTGTTATTATAATAGATAGATCCATGCTTGCTGCTGTTATTATAATAGATAGATCCATGCTTGCTGCTGTTATTATAATAGATAGATCCATGCTTGCTGCTGTTATTATAATAGATAGATCCATGCTTGCTGCTGTTATTATAATAGTTAGATCCATGCTTGCTGCTGTTATTATAATAGATAGATCCATGCTTGCTGCTGTTATTATAATAGATAGATCCATGCTTGCTGCTGTTATTATAATAGATAGATCCATGCTTGCTGCTGTTATTATAATAACTAGATCCATGCTTGCTGCTGTTATTATAATAGCTAGATCCATGCTTGCAGCTGTTATTATAATAGCTAGATCCATGCTTGCTGCTGTTATTATAATAGTTAGATCCATGCTTGCTGCTGTTATTATAATAGCTAGATCCATGCTTGCAGCTGTTATTATAATAGTTAGATCCATGCTTGCTGCTGTTATTATAATAGTTAGATCCATGCTTGCTGCTGTTATTATAATAGCTAGATCCATGCTTGCTGCTGTTATTATAATAGTTAGATCCATGCTTGCTGCTGTTATTATAATAGCTAGATCCATGCTTGCTGCTGTTATTATAATAGCTAGATCCATGCTTGCTGCTGTTATTATAATAGCTAGATCCATGCTTGCTGCTGTTATTATAATAGCTAGATCCATGCTTGCTGCTGTTATTATAATAGCTAGATCCATGCTTGCAGCCCGTGCAAAGCTTGCACTCCCTCACAGCCGCTAACAACAACCAGAGCCACGGAGGAGGCCATCTCACACGCAGCATTCTGAGTGATATTCTTATGGATAAATGAGCGGGTCATTCGGACATGCGTTAATGCGTTACAAAAAAATAACGCGTTAATAAAAAATGTAATTAACGTGAGTCAAAACCGTTCGACCAGCTCAGCGGTGAATGCAGTGACTGTGGCCGTGTTCAGAGCCGCTCTCCCGGAGGCCTGAGAGCGCTCTGTCCTGAGAGAGCTCTGTCCTGAGAGAGCTCTGTCCTGAGAGAGCTCTGTCCTGAGAGAGCTCTGTCCTGAGAGAGCTCTGTCCTGAGAGAGCTCTGTCCTGAGAGAGCTCTGTCCTGAGAGAGCTCTGTCCTGAGAGAGCTCTGTCCTGAGAGAGCTCTGTCCTGAGAGAGCTCTGTCCTGAGAGAGCTCTGTCCTGAGAGCGCTCTGTCCTGAGAGAGCTCTGTCCTGAGAGAGCTCTGTCCTGAGAGAGCTCTGTCCTGAGAGAGCTCTGTCCTGAGAGAGCTCTGTCCTGAGAGCGCTCTGTCCTGAGAGAGCTCTATCCTGAGAGAGCTCTGTCCTGAGAGAGCTCTGTCCTGAGAGAGCTCTGTCCTGAGAGCGCTCTGTCCTGAGAGAGCTCTGTCCTGAGAGAGCTCTGTCCTGAGAGAGCTCTGTCCTGAGAGCGCTCTGTCCTGAGAGAGCTCTGTCCTGAGAGAGCTCTGTCCTGAGAGAGCTCTGTCCTGAGAGAGCTCTGTCCTGAGAGAGCTCTGTCCTGAGAGAGCTCTGTCCTGAGAGAGCTCTGTCCTGAGAGAGCTCTGTCCTGAGAGAGCTCTGTCCTGAGAGAGCTCTGTCCGGCCTCCGGGAGTTTACTGAGGACAGCGGTGAATGTAGCTGTTAGTAGCTAACTGTAGCTAACTGTAGCCATGTTCAGAGCCATATTCCCGGCCCTAACTACACGGGCCGCCGCCGCTAGGAAGCTCGGAATCACATATATATGTGATATATATATCACATATATATGTGATATATATATCACATATATATGTGATATTTATTATACGGCTCCTCACAGCAGCAGTAGAACGCTCCATTGATTTGAATGTAATTTCAAAACGTTCTACCGGTCATTATTTTCTATAACGGACCTCTCAAAACAATAATGACCACAGCCCTTTGGCAACGCACTCTCTGCTTGTCTTTCAAATGCGTGGATAACTCCGACAGTAGTTCCGGCCACTCCGGAGCTAGCCACGCTCAATCAACACACTTAAATGTTAATCAGAGAATACTTATACATATACATTCTTCACACACGTGCACGGACATTTTCAGAATTTTTTCATGACAAAAATACTATTTCTCTGCGTCAAAAAGCGATTGTGAAAAACCCGGAAGTTGTTCTGGCCGCTCAATAAACGCAAATGCCAATCAATCAACGCAATGAAATGTTAATCGGAGAGTAATTTATACATATCCAGTCTTAATACAAGTGCACGGAAGTTTTCAGAATTTTCCGTTTACGTTTTCATGACAAAAACACTGATGTAATGCGAGAAAATGCGATCCCGAAAAACCCGGAAGTAGATACCGGCACATTTTAAGATACCGGCACATTTTAAGATACGGCACATTTTCGGACACATTTGCAGAGGATCGAATTATGGATTTAGGTTAGGTTTATGTTTGGGTCACTCACCGCTGATGTTCAGGATTCTGTGTTCAGTTTTCATGCAGTTCCAGAGAGTTCTAGTTTGGAAGTTGCCAGCCTAACTGTTGCTAGCATAGCCACGGGAAAACCTTTGGGAACTATTTTATTTTCTGTCATTAAATAAACCTTTCGGCATTCCTAAAAGTGGACTGAAGTTTATGTTGTGTGTTCTGTTGGTAAAGCCGTATAATAAGCGGGATAACGTATATTACGCAGGTCATTATCGGAAAATAAGTACCTTCAGGGCGGAAGCAGACCCCTCCGCTGCGCGTCGGGGTCCGCTTCGCCCTGTCGGTACTTATTTTCCGATAATGACCTGCGTAATATACGTTATCCCTTACATATATCACATATATATGTGATATATATATCACATATATATGTGATATATATATCACATATATATGTGATATATATATCACATATATATGTGATATATATATCACATATATATGTGATTGCTCCGTGTGTGATAACTTTCTGTAAAGCATGGAGCTGCTGCAGGAGCAGGGACGAGGCGCACAGAGCAGACTGCTTTGAAAGAACCGAAGGAAAAGCAGTTTGGGCTCAGAGCCTGATGTACAGATTCAGATTCAGATTCATTTATTTGCCATTTGCAGTAAAACCACATTGGAAAAACTGTGCAAGACTACCCCGGTGTGCACCAGACAGATTACACAGACAGTTGGATAGACACATTGTGCTTTGAATAAACCACGGATTTTTTTCTCGGGATGAGCACCTCCAGGAGACTGTGGACTAGAGTTCTGTGGAATATCTAACATATATCATTTGTTTTGCACTGTTCCTGTCTTTGTTTGAGCGCTAAGACTTTCACTTTTATTACTGTACTTTTTCATCTCATTTGTCACTGTTGTCTTTCTGTTCATTTTTTTTGTTTTTTTTTATTAAGTCCATTGCTTAATAATGTTATTGAGTGAATCTAGACCTCCTTTAAACACATTTGAGCAAAAATCATGTGATATTGTTTTATATATATTGATTATTCTTTTTTTGCTTACAGCGTGTTGCAGTCCGACAACAAGAAATTGTCAATTCTGCCCCACCTGTGGAAAATGTCAAAGCGCGCTGGCCAGCACTTTATACAGAGAGACAGGTGTGTACACATTTTTTACATCTATGCATTTAACTTGAAGTGTTTTATGTTGTTTTTTTTTAGGTCCTGGCAGAATTTAACCAGATCACCAGCTCCAAACTGGGCAATGATTTCGTTGAAGCATTGGATTGCCTAACGACACAGTTCAAGCTCTTTAAGGCCAAAAGGGGGTCTGCTGGCGCTAAGCTTTCCAAGATTGTCCGGCACCTCGATTCCTGTGTAAGTTCATAAAGCAATAACAAAAATAAATGACATATGATTGTGTTTGGTGTTGAAATGCACATATGTACAGCAGAGGAGATGGAGAAAGGAGAAAGGTAAGTCCATCCCCCTCCATTTGTCTCGTCTGTCAGTGCAGTGTTTTACTCCTATGTACAATTATGAAAAAGACACAACAAGCAGTGACACTTGTAGGTGATAACTTACTCAGTACTGCTTTAACAACCTTAAAGGCGCTATACCCGTTTCTGCAATGTTTGAATGTTTAGCACCGCCCCCCAACTCGCTCACAGGCTTCTCATTTCCCCTACGCTCTCATAACGCAGAGCCACCTAGTTTTATTTGCGATCTGATATGTATGCTAACATTAGCATTAGCACAACTTGTAAACTGTGCAACAATCACTGATGAAATGGTACTAAAGCAATGCACTGCTAACACAATATATAAGTAAAAGAATACCATTAGTTTCGCGTCCGAATGTATTAATTTAAACATTAGAATATATTCTAATATTTAATTATAATTTGTTATAGAGCTCCTCACAGCAGCAGCAGCAATTCTTCCGATCATTTTTTCTTGATAACAGAACTCTCAAACCAATAATGACCGCAGCCCCAATGCAATCTCTGTTTGTAATTCAGGTGTGTAAAATACTGCCATTACTTACAACAAGCTATCAGCACCTGTCACTACACACTTGTCTGTGTAGAGAAGCTAGCGGAGCTAGCCACGCTTAATAAACAAATACATATCTATCAATCAACACCATTAAACGTCAATCGGACAATACAGTATACATATACATCCTTAACACACATGCACGGACGATTTCAGAATTAGCAGTCAACGTTTTCATGACAAAAATACTGTTTTAAAGTGACAAAAAGCGATCGCGAAAAACCCGGAAGTTACCATGAAACAGCTCGCTAGCTTAGCTGTTACCTGCCTAGCACGTCCCGGTGAAACCTTTGGGAGCTAACTACTTTTATTTGCAGTCATTAAATACATTTCTAATTATAAGGGTTGTCTAATATTTGTTCAAATATGTATATATTTTTTATTTTAGAATTATATTCGAATTTTGAAGTCGAAGCCCTGGTGTTGAGCAGCGCTGTAGAGGCTAGAGGACGCAGGCTGTTCGCTGCTTGTTCTGTGAGCGGAGGAGAAAGAGCGGCCCGCTCAGACTCTACTCAGCACTTTTCACTGCTTGAATTTCATACACAGTGGAATCAATGACCTCAAGTTTTCAATTAAATTATGTATTATGATACAACTATGTATGTAGTAAAAACCATTTTTATGAACTACTTAGAAAAAAAATCGGGTATAGCTTCTTTAACCTCCACCTGAAAAAGACATTCAAATAATACAGGAAAAAACAGTACAAAAAAGAAAGTGACAAAAATGAAAGTAAAACTTGAAGCTGTTATATCTGCTGTAACCTTTTGGCTAAAGCTAAACTGGGGAAATACACTTGGTTAAGGCGGGTTTATTCTGTCCAGTGTGAATGACACGTAATATATTAAAGGACCGTGACGTCGCCCGGTCACAACACACTTGAAGGTAACTCTACATTTCTCAATATAATGAGTTAACTACAGTTTGGGAATAAAGACATTTTACTTTTGTGCACAAATAACATGCATTGTTAATGCATGGAGGAAAAATGTGGGTATCCGAGCTTTAAATTCAGGAGTTTTGCTTCAGGAGGAGACACAGGAGACTCACATTTATTTCACAGTCAAAATCATGAAATGACAAAGTATTATAAGTAATGCATCATATTTAGATGTTTTATTTCTCAAATGGAAATGGACACCATCACTTTCAATTGACCTGAACCCATAGTCTCCTCCTAAAGGAGAATCCTCTGTGGCAGTCACAAGGAGATCCAATCAGGACATGTGTGAGAAGGACACAGCTAAAGAGGTCCTGATGCATTTTGTATCATAAGACTTTTTGGTACAATTGTAGATTGTCATTTTACATTTTCCACGTGTTTGTAGATGGTGGAACTGCAGGAAAACCCTGGTGACCGAGAGATCCTTAAAGATTATAATTCTGTGAGATCACTAAGTCACCGCTCTCGAAGACAACTTGTCGACCTTCTCGTCAGTGACATGAGTGAAACACATGGGTATGTTGTATCAGTTATTACTCAAAAGTTCCTTCTTACAAGTGGAAGGATATTTACTCAAAATAAAATGAAAATCACTTGAAAGACCTTTCACAATAATCACGTAACAATTCAGTTTCTCTCAGCACTGTTATTGATTCCCCATTGTAAGATAAATAGTACTGATCTCTTTTATAAATGACCTAGGTAGATGTTCTCCTGTAGATTATCTCTTGGTTAGGTCCCTGTGAAAATATGTACTTGTAGATACTATTAATTTAGCCTTTTTATGTAACCATGAAGTCCTTTGACCATGACTGTTTTTCTTTCCTTAGACAAATGCCTTCCCGAAAACAAAAAGAAAGCTATGCTCTTAGAATTATCACACTTTTTTCATTGAAGGATCCATTTTCTCAAAAAGGTTATGTAAGTATTGTTAATGTATCCATGGAAATTGAATTTGGTTTACCTACACATGTTTTGTGTAGATAATGGATATGTATAGATAACAATCATAACTGTACACTTTGTTTTCAGACTAATCTAGCCTCGTAATGAGACGGTGACCTCCTATTTGCTTAACACAATATCTGCAATACAATGTGAACAATAAGTCCACATTTCCACGATGTTGATAAAGACGACATTGTGTGTAAGTGTTTTACTGTTTCTCCCTTTAACCTGGTTTTAAACATTGTCAGAGAGGAGCTGTCACTTTAGCTGTGCTACAACTGAGGTATTTTATATTTATCTAATGTACTGTGATTATTTATTTTAATGCTTTCTTATTTTGCTCAGCACTTCGAGTTTCCTTGTGTATGAATTGTGCTAGACAAATAAACTTGCCTTGCCATCGTACTTCCTGGTTCTAGTCAGGACTAATGTGGTCGTACTTCCTGGTTCTAGTCAGGACTAATGTGGTCGTACTTCCTGGTTCTAGTCAGGACTAATGTGGTCGTACTTCCTGGTTCTAGTCAGGACTAATATGGTCGTACTTCCTGGTTCTAGTCAGGACTAATATGGTCGTACTTCCTGGTTCTAGTCAGGACTAATGTGGTCGTACTTCCTGGTTCTAGTCAGGACTAATGTGGTCGTACTTCCTGGTTCTAGTCAGGACTAATATGGTCGTACTTCCTGGTTCTAGTCAGGACTAATATGGTCGTACTTCCTGGTTCTAGTCAGGACTAATGTGGTCATACTTCCTGGTTCTAGTCAGGACTAATGTGGTCGTACTTCCTGGTTCTAGTCAGGACAATGTGGTCGTACTTCCTGGTTCTAGTCAGGACTAATATGGTCGTACTTCCTGGTTCTAGTCAGGACTAATGTGGTCGTACTTCCTGGTTCTAGTCAGGACTAATGTGGTCGTACTTCCTGGTTCTAGTCAGGACTAATGTGGTCGTACTTCCTGGTTCTAGTCAGGACTAATGTGGTCGTACTTCCTGGTTCTAGTCAGGACTAATATGGTCGTACTTCCTGGTTCTAGTCAGGACTAATATGGTCGTACTTCCTGGTTCTAGTCAGGACTAATGTGGTCGTACTTCCTGGTTCTAGTCAGGACTAATGTGGTCGTACTTCCTGGTTCTAGTCAGGACTAATATGGTCGTACTTCCTGGTTCTAGTCAGGACTAATATGGTCGTACTTCCTGGTTCTAGTCAGGACTAATGTGGTCATATTCCTGGTTCTAGTCAGGACTAATGTGGTCGTACTTCCTGGTTCTAGTCAGGACTAATGTGGTCGTACTTCCTGGTTCTAGTCAGGACTAATATGGTCGTACTTCCTGGTTCTAGTCAGGACTAATGTGGTCGTACTTCCTGGTTCTAGTCAGGACTAATGTGGTCGTACTTCCTGGTTCTAGTCAGGACTAATGTGGTCGTACTTCCTGGTTCTAGTCAGGACTAATGTGGTCGTACTTCCTGGTTCTAGTCAGGACTAATGTGGTCGTACTTCCTGGTTCTAGTCAGGACTAATGTGGTCGTACTTCCTGGTTCTAGTCAGGACTAATGTGGTCGTACTTCCTGGTTCTAGTCAGGACTAATATGGTCGTACTTCCTGGTTCTAGTCAGGACTAATATGGTCGTACTTCCTGGTTCTAGTCAGGACTAATGTGGTCGTACTTCCTGGTTCTAGTCAGGACTAATGTGGTCGTACTTCCTGGTTCTAGTCAGGACTAATGTGGTCGTACTTCCTGGTTCTAGTCAGGACTAATGTGGTCGTACTTCCTGGTTCTAGTCAGGACTAATGTGGTCGTACTTCCTGGTTCTAGTCAGGACTAATATGGTCGTACTTCCTGGTTCTAGTCAGGACTAATGTGGTCGTACTTCCTGGTTCTAGTCAGGACTAATGTGGTCGTACTTCCTGGTTCTAGTCAGGACTAATGTGGTCGTACTTCCTGGTTCTAGTCAGGACTAACGTGGTCGTACTTCCTGGTTCTAGTCAGGACTAATGTGGTCGTACTTCCTGGTTCTAGTCAGGACTAATGTGGTCGTACTTCCTGGTTCTAGTCAGGACTAATATGGTCGTAACTTCCTGGTTCTAGTCAGGACTAATGTGGTTGTACTTCCTGGTTCTAGTCAGGACTAATATGGTCGTACTTCCTGGTTCTAGTCAGGACTAATGTGGTTGTACTTCCTGGTTCTAGTCAGGACTAATGTGGTTGTACTTCCTGGTTCTAGTCAGGACTAATGTGGTCGTACTTCCTGGTTCTAGTCAGGACTAATATGGTCGTACTTCCTGGTTCTAGTCAGGACTAATGTGGTTGTACTTCCTGGTTCTAGTCAGGACTAATATGGTCGTACTTCCTGGTTCTAGTCAGGACTAATGTGGTTGTACTTCCTGGTTCTAGTCAGGACTAATGTGGTTGTACTTCCTGGTTCTAGTCAGGACTAATATGGTCGTACTTCCTGGTTCTAGTCAGGACTAATGTGGTCGTACTTCCTGGTTCTAGTCAGGACTAATATGGTCGTACTTCCTGGTTCTTGTCAGGACTAATGTGGTTGTACTTCCTGGTTCTAGTCAGGACTAATATGGTCGTACTTCCTGGTTCTAGTCAGGACTAATGTGGTTGTACTTCCTGGTTCTAGTCAGGACTAATGTGGTTGTACTTCCTGGTTCTAGTCAGGACTAATGTGGTTGTACTTCCTGGTTCTAGTCAGGACTAATGTGGTCGTACTTCCTGGTTCTAGTCAGGACTAATGTGGTCGTACTTCCTGGTTCTAGTCAGGACTAATATGGTCGTACTTCCTGGTTCTAGTCAGGACTAATGTGGTTGTACTTCCTGGTTCTAGTCAGGACTAATATGGTCGTACTTCCTGGTTCTAGTCAGGACTAATGTGGTTGTACTTCCTGGTTCTAGTCAGGACTAATGTGGTTGTACTTCCTGGTTCTAGTCAGGACTAATATGGTCGTACTTCCTGGTTCTAGTCAGGACTAATGTGGTCGTACTTCCTGGTTCTAGTCAGGACTAATATGGTCGTACTTCCTGGTTCTTGTCAGGACTAATGTGGTTGTACTTCCTGGTTCTAGTCAGGACTAATATGGTCGTACTTCCTGGTTCTAGTCAGGACTAATGTGGTTGTACTTCCTGGTTCTAGTCAGGACTAATATGGTCGTACTTCCTGGTTCTAGTCAGGACTAATGTGGTTGTACTTCCTGGTTCTAGTCAGGACTAATGTGGTTGTACTTCCTGGTTCTAGTCAGGACTAATGTGGTTGTACTTCCTGGTTCTAGTCAGGACTAATGTGGTCGTACTTCCTGGTTCTTGTCAGGACTAATGTGGTCGTACTTCCTGGTTCTAGTCAGGACTAATATGGTCGTACTTCCTGGTTCTAGTCAGGACTAATGTGGTCGTACTTCCTGGTTCTAGTCAGGACTAATATGGTCGTACTTCCTGGTTCTAGTCAGGACTAATATGGTCGTACTTCCTGGTTCTAGTCAGGACTAATGTGGTCGTACTTCCTGGTTCTAGTCAGGACTAATGTGGTCGTACTTCCTGGTTCTAGTCAGGACTAATGTGGTCGTACTTCCTGGTTCTAGTCAGGACTAATGTGGTCGTACTTCCTGGTTCTAGTCAGGACTAATGTGGTCGTACTTCCTGGTTCTAGTCAGGACTAATATGGTCGTACTTCCTGGTTCTAGTCAGGACTGGAGCTGCTGCATTTTGAATGTACTGCAGCTGTTTTACAGCCTGTTTGGACAGACCTGTGAGCAGCCATTGCAGTAGTCTAACCTACTGGAGACAAATGCATGGATAAGAATCTCCAAGTCTGCTTTAGACACTATGTTTTTGATCCTGGAAATGTTTAGATGGGAAAAAGGATTTGATTTGGCTAATAATATTTACTGATTCTTTCAGCCGCTGGAATCGAGACTGAGTGTGCTAGAAAGTGACAAAGTGGAACTCTGGAAGTCCGCCACGGTAGACCTAATGTCCAATGAAGAAGAAGGCGTTGTGGACGGTGTCTCTGGGTGGATTGTGCGGTCGCAGTCTTTTCGAAAGCCGGAGTTTTCTGAACTCTGTCAAGCTGCAGTCCCGGTTAGAGGCGGCACGGAAGTACAGAGCCACGCACATTAAGCGTCTATCTAGAACCCTGCCAAATTACAACCCCGAGGAGGCGATTGGACAGTTCAGAGTTGTAATTTTTTAATTACCTATGTGTGAGCATAAAGCTGCGTACAGAACCACAGATCTCTCCAACACGTACAGAACCACAGATCTCTCCAACACGTACAGAACCACAGATCTCTCCAACACGTACAGAACCACAGATCTCTCCAACACGTACAGAACCACAGATATCTCCAACACGTACAGAACCACAGATCTCTCCAACACGTACAGAACCACAGAGCTCTCCAACACGTACAGAACCACAGATCTCTCCAACACGTACAGAACCACAGATCTCTCCAACACGTACAGAACCACAGATCTCTCCAACACGTACAGAACCACAGATATCTCCAACACGTACAGAACCACAGATCTCTCCAACACGTACAGAACCACAGAGCTCTCCAACACGTACAGAACCACAGATCTCTCCAACACGTACAGAACCACAGATCTCTCCAACACGTACAGAACCACAGATATCTCCAACACGTACAGAACCACAGATCTCTCCAACACGTACAGAACCACAGAGCTCTCCAACACGTACAGAACCACACATCTCTCCAACGCATACAGAACCACGGATCTCTCCAACACGTACAGAACCACAGATCTCTCTAACGCGTACAGAACCACAGAGCTCTCCAACACGTACAGAACCACAATCTCTCCAACACGTACAGAACCACAGATCTCTCCAACACGTACAGAACCACAGATCTCTCCAACACGTACAGAACCACAGATCTCTCCAACACGTACAGAACCACAGATCTCTCCAACACGTACAGAACCACAGATCTCTCCAACACGTACAGAACCACAGATCTCTCCAACACGTACAGAACCACAGATCTCTCCAACACGTACAGAACCACAGATCTCTCCAACACGTACAGAACCACAGATCTCTCCAACACGTACAGAACCACAGATCTCTCCAACACGTACAGAACCACAGATCTCTCCAACACGTACAGAACCACAGATCTCTCCAACACGTACAGAACCACAGAGCTCTCCAACACGTACAGAACCACAGAGCTCTCCAACACGTACAGAACCACAGATCTCACCAACACGTACAGAACCACAGATCTCACCAACACGTACAGAACCACAGAGCTCTCCAACACGTACAGAACCACAGATCTCTCCAACACGTACAGAACCACAGATCTCTCCAACACGTACAGAACCACAGATCTCTCCAACACACACAGAACCACAGATCTCTCCAACACGTACAGAACCACAGATCTCTCCAACACGTACAGAACCACAGATCTCTCCAACACGTACAGAACCACAGATCTCTCCAACACGTACAGAACCACAGATCTCTCCAACACGTACAGAACCACAGATATCTCCAACGCGTACAGAACCACAAATCTCTCCAACGCATACAGAACCACAGATCTCTCCAACGCGTACAGAACCACAGATCTCTCCAACACGTACAGAACCACAGATCTCTCCAACACGTACAGAACCACAGATCTCTCCAACACGTACAGAACCACAGATCTCTTCAACACGTACAGAACCACAGAGCTCTCCAACACGTACAGAACCACAGATCTCTCCAACACGTACAGAACCACAGATCTCTCCAACACGTACAGAACCACAGATATCTCCAACGCATACAGAACCACGGATCTCTCCAACACGTACAGAACCACAGATCTCTCCAACACGTACAGAACCACAGATATCTCCAACGCATACAGAACCACAGATCTCTCCAACACGTACAGAACCACAGATCTCTCCAACGCGTACAGAACCACAGATCTCTCCAACGCGTACAGAACCACAGATATCTCCAACACGTACAGAACCACAGATCTCTCCAACACGTACAGAACCACAGATCTCTCCAACGCGTACAGAACCACAGATATCTCCAACACGTACAGAACCACAGATCTCTCCAACACGTACAGAACCACAGATCTCTCCAACACGTACAGAACCACAGATCTCTCCAACACGTACAGAACCACAGATATCTCCAACACGTACAGAACCACAGATATCTCCAACACGTACAGAACCACAGATCTCTCCAACGCGTACAGAACCACAGATCTCTCCAACACGTACAGAACCACAGATGACTCCAACACGTACAGAACCACAGATCTCTCTAACACGTACAGAACCACAGATCTCTCCAACACGTACAGAACCACAGATCTCTCCAACACGTACAGAACCACAGATCTCTCCAACACGTACAGAACCACAGATCTCTCCAACACGTACAGAACCACAGATCTCTCCAACGCGTACAGAACCACAGATCTCTCCAACGCGTACAGAACCACGGATCTCTCCAACACTTACAGAACCACAGATCTCTCCAACACGTACAGAACCACAGATCTCTCCAACACGTACAGAACCACAGATCTCTCCAACACGTACAGAACCACAGATCTCTCCAACACGTACAGAACCACAGATCTTTCCAACACGTACAGAACCACAGATCTCTCCAACGCGTACAGAACCACAGATCTCTCCAACACGTACAGAACCACAGATCTCTCCAACACGTACAGAACCACAGAGCTCTCCAACACGTACAGAACCACAGATCTCTCTAACACGTACAGAACCACAGATCTCTCCAACACGTACAGAACCACAGATCTCTCCAACACGTACAGAACCACAGATCTCTCCAACACGTACAGAACCACAGATCTCTCCAACACGTACAGAACCACAGATCTCTCCAACACGTACAGAACCACAGATCTCTCCAACACGTACAGAACCACAGATCTCTCCAACACGTACAGAACCACAGATCTCTCCAACACGTACAGAACCACAGATCTCTCCAACACGTACAGAACCACAGATCTCTCCAACACGTACAGAACCACAGATCTCTCTAACGCGTACAGAACCGCGCCAACATGTGAACACCTCAGCTAAGCTATTTAAAAGCATTAGAACCAGCAAATGACCAGACAGTCACCAAAACATTACAGTCCGTTTGCCATCTTCATGTGCACTTAGCCGTATGTAGCTAGCTTACATACACCGCCACTACTACACACTTTTACATCGAAGGATTATTTATTTACCCAGCCCCCATCTTCTTTTATCAACAACCAGGTATGAGTTGGTGTTTTAGATGAGCACTGCGAATGTTTGACCTGAAAAGAACACGGCACACGTCATTCACCAGTCCTTACTCACACGGCTCTGTACGATGCAGGATGTGTCCTTCAGGATCTTAACTCCGACTTCCTTAACCCACCCACACATGGAGAAGTTGCAGCGTCCATGCTTTTCCAAGCCTTCATTTGTTTAGCAGAGCAAAAGCCTGACTGTAACACTAGATAGTTTGAGATATCCAGGAACTGAACTGGTGGGTGTTTTTCTTGGATAACGTATAAGGATCTATACCATTACACTATTTGATTTTTTCAATGTATCGATCTCGAGAATTAGAATCCAAACCACAAAAATAGTCGGGAGAAGAGTCGCATTTTGTTCGCAAATCAGACATTTTGGTTGGCCTGAGCACCACTATGTCAACCGGAAGTTTATGGGTCACGTGATTGCAAGCAATTCTGTCTGAGAGAAAGAAACAATGGAAACCACGGGAACTTGAGAGAAACTTAAATAAACTTCCAGAGTTTGGCGCAGCACGGTCCGTCTCTGTCTGCTTCATTCCTGACATGGTCAGTATGGTCAGCATGGTCATATGGCCAGTATGGTCAGTATGGTCAGCATGGTCAGCATGGTCAGTATGGTCAGTATGGTCAGCATGGTCAGTATGGTCAGTATGGGCGTGGCATGGTCAGCATGGTCAGTATGGTCAGCATGGTCAGCATGGTCAGTATGGTCAGCATGGTCAGCATGGTCAGTATGGGCGTGGCATGGTCAGTATGGTCAGCATGGTCAGCATGGTCAGTATGGGCGTGGCATGGTCAGCATGGTCAGCATGGTCAGTATGGTCAGTATGGTCAGTATGGTCAGCATGGTCAGCATGGTCAGCATGGTCAGTATGGTCAGCATGGTCAGCATGGTCAGCATGGTCAGTATGGTCAGCATGGTCAGCATGGTCAGTATGGGCATGGTCAGCATGGTCAGTATGGGCGTGGCATGGTCAGTATGGTCAGCATGGTCAGTATGGTCAGTATGGTCAGCATGGTCAGTATGGTCAGCATGGTCAGCATGGTCAGCATGGTCAGCATGGGCGTGGCATGGTCAGTATGGCCGTGGCATGGTCAGCGTGGTCAGTATGGGCGTGGCATGGTCAGTATGGTCAGCATGGTCAGTATGGTCAGCATGGTCAGTATGGTCAGTATGGTCAGTATGGTCAGCATAGTCAGTATGGGCGTGGCATGGTCAGCATGGTCAGTATGGTCAGTATGGTCAGCATGGTCAGTATGGTCAGTATGGTCAGCATGGTCAGTATGGTCAGCATAGTCAGTATGGGCGTGGCATGGTCAGCATGGTCAGTATGGTCAGTATGGTCAGCATGGTCAGTATGGTCAGTATGGTCAGCATGGTCAGCGTGGTCAGTATGGGCGTGGCATGGTCAGTATGGCCGTGGCATGGTCAGCGTGGTCAGTATGGGCGTGGCATGGTCAGTATGGTCAGTATGGTCAGCATGGTCAGTATGGTCAGTATGGTCAGTATGGTCAGCATGGTCAGCATGGTCAGTATGGTCAGCATGGTCAGCATGGTCAGCATGGTCAGTATGGTCAGCATGGTCAGCATGGTCAGGCATGGTCAGTATGGTCAGCATGGTCAGCATGGTCAGTATGGTCAGCATGGTCAGTATGGTCAGCATGGTCAGCATGGTCAGTATGGTCAGCATGGTCAGCATGGTCAGTATGGGCGTGGTATGGTCAGTATGGTCAGCATGGTCAGCATGGTCAGCATGGTCAGCATGGTCAGTATGGTCAGCATGGTCAGTATGGTCAGTGTGGTCAGCATGGTCAGCATGGGCGTGGCATGGTCAGTATGGCCGTGGCATGGTCAGTATGGGCGTGGCATGGTCAGTATGGTCAGTATGGGCGTGGCATGGTCAGTATGGTCAGTATGGTCAGTATGGGCGTGGCATGGTCAGTATGGCCGTGGCATGGTCAGTATGGGCGTGGCATGGTCAGTATGGTCAGTATGGGCGTGGCATGGTCAGTATGGTCAGCGTGGTCAGTATGGTCAGTATGGGCGTGGCATGGTCAGTATGGGCGTGGCATGGTCAGTATGGTCAGTATGGGCGTGGCATGGTCAGTATGGTCAGTATGGTCAGTATGGGCGTGGCATGGTCAGTATGGTCAGTATGGGCGTGGCATGGTCAGCGTGGTCAGTATGGGCGTGGCATGGTCAGTATGGTCAGTATGGGCGTGGCATGGTCAGCGTGGTCAGTATGGGCGTGGCATGGTCAGTATGGGCGTGGCATGGTCAGTATGGTCAGTATGGGCGTGGCATGGTCAGCGTGGTCAGTATGGGCGTGGCATGGTCAGTATGGTCAGTATGGGCGTGGCATGGTCAGTATGGTCAGTATGGGCGTGGCATGGTCAGTATGGTCAGTATGGGCGTGGCATGGTCAGTATGGTCAGTATGGGCGTGGCATGGTCAGTATGGTCAGTATGGGCGTGGCATGGTCAGTATGGGCGTGGCATGGTCTTACAGGTATTCCACCTGGTTCTCCTCAGACACATGAATGAACTAGAATAGCAGTAGCAGTTCTAGCAACAACTGCAGAGAAATGTGATTAGATTTTAAATCCCAGTAGGATGATCAAGCAGCAGTTTATGAACAGATCAGAAGATTAAGAAATATAAATATTGATAGAGAAATGCTTTAAACATGGGTGTAACTAGGTTCCAGTGAACTGGACACCCCATCGCCATGGGGAAGCTAGAAAAATACTTTGTGGCGTAGCCTAGCAACCATATTTCCATCCAACATCGTGCCTTAGGCCTACCTCGTGAGAAATCCAAAAACAAAATAAAAAATATTTGTGTCAATCTATGAACCTCTCTCTCTTGATCTTATTTTTTTGTTAAAGTTATGCACCTCAGCTTGAAGAATATGCTAATAGCTTGTTAGCGCTTGTTAGCCGTGCAACGAGATGAATAGAACATGATTTAAAAACGCTTTTATGATACCAACACTTTGAATCCGGACAAAGCCAGAGACCAGTCCTGCTTTTGCCACGGTCGTCCCCCCATCATTCCAATTCCTCTCTTTCTCTCGTTCACTCTCTCTTTCTTTCATTTCTCTCATGACATTGCTCAGTTAATTTTCCGGGTTTCTTTCAAGAACTCCGTGTCAAGCTAGAATAACTCAGCCTAATAATACTAAGGACAGGGGTCAAGTTTACCATTCTCCGCCTAAGAAAAAGAGACACATCCTAAATGCTTGGCGCTCGTGGCCGTGGCAGTGGCGAGGTCATGACTCCGCCCATCGGGGTCCGAGCGTGTGACATGTGGTGTTAGAATAAGCCTGACAGTGCTAGTGGACTTGGGAACCACTGTATTCTGGACTGGCGTGGGTGGAGGGGTCGACAAACGTGTGCGGACCACCTCTCTCTTTCTCTCTCTCTCTCAGCTGACTCGGAGAATTTCTCTACGTGGGACAAGTCCACCAAGACCCATCCATCAAAAAGGCCCAAATACGTTCTGTTCCACTGTTGACACGAGGTTAACAACTTGACACTGACGGAGGTGGGCCGGGCCGGCGGGCAGAGAGAGCCGGGCCGGCGGGCAGAGAGGGCCGGGCCGGCGGGCAGAGAGAGCCGGGCCGGCGGGCAGAGAGGGCCGGGCCGGCGGGCAGAGAGGGCCGGGCCGGCGGGCAGAGAGGGCCGGGCCGGCGGGCAGAGAGAGCCGGGCCGGCGGGCAGAGAGGGCCGGGCCGGCGGGCAGAGAGAGCCGGGCCGGCGGGCAGAGAGAGCCGGGCCGGCGGGCAGAGAGGGCCGGGCCGGCGGGCAGAGAGGGCCGGGCCGGCGGGCAGAGAGGGCCGGGCCGGCGGGCAGAGAGAGCCGGGCCGGCGGGCAGAGAGGGCCGGGCCGGCGGGCAGAGAGGGCCGGGCCGGCGGGCAGAGAGGGCCGGGCCGGCGGGCAGAGAGAGCCGGGCCGGCGGGCAGAGAGAGCCGGGCCGGCGGGCAGAGAGAGCCGGGCCGGCGGGCAGAGAGAGCCGGGCAGAGAGGGCCGGGCCGGCGGGCAGAGAGGGCCGGGCCGGCGGGCAGAGAGGGCCGGGCCGGCGGGCAGAGAGAGCCGGGCCGGCGGGCAGAGAGAGCCGGGCCGGCGGGCAGAGAGAGCCGGGCCGGCGGGCAGAGAGGGCCGGGCCGGCGGGCAGAGAGAGAGCCGGGCCGGCGGGCAGAGAGAGCCGGGCCGGCGGGCAGAGAGGGCCGGGCCGGCGGGCAGAGAGGGCCGGGCCGGCGGGCAGAGAGAGCCGGCGACGTGGAGGGAGATGGATTGAGCCGTGATCAACGTTCAATTTGAATTATTGTAAATATTTCCATTTAGGGTGGAACATTGAGTACATCATGGTGTGTATGTGAAGTGATGGTTTGATCAAATACGTTTAGACGCAAACGTGAGCAGTCGGAAGTTTGAGGGATTGGAATCCTGCGCCGCACGATTCAAGGGCTGCGCAGTACAATTGTTTTACTTTGGAAGAATAGTGTTTTGGCGCCGTAACTGATTTCATGTTTATTTGTATAGCACAGTTCATACACAAGGCAACTCAACGTGCAAAACAAGAAAAGATATCACATGTAATCATAATAATCACGATGCATTATATAGAGTAAAAATACAATCCCTTCAGTGGTATGCACAGTAAACAGAATTGTTTTTAACCTGAATTTGAATATCAGAGAAGAAGCCTAAATGCTTAACGATTTGATAGATTTGGCAGGAAAAAATCAATAATTATCCTAAAATTCCTTTGCAGCTGCACCCCTCAAAAAGTTTCTGGCTCTGCCACTGATGACACCAATGACTATACATTAATATTATTGTGCCCAATTATACATTACCATAATAATCATTGACTGACTGACCAAGCCACGCCCATGCTGACCATGCCACGCCCCTGCCACGCCCATCCTGACCATGCCACGCCCCTGCTGTCCATGCCACGCCCATCCTGACCATCCTGAGCATCATCTTTGAGGTGTTTGAAGGAAAGTCAACAATCATTAGAAATAAAATCAGTTAATGGTACTTTTTCCAGTTTAGTGCCCAATTTTTAATGTGATTTTTTCATAATAATTTTGGATATTCAAATATTTCTTCAATAATAGTAATATTCCAGGAATACATTATTTTTGGTGTGATCTCTTTGGCCAAGTAATTTGTTTTTTTTAATGAAATAAGTAGTTCTGCAATTATAGACCTCCAAACATGGTACATCAGGCTAAAATGTCCAAATGTTGATCAAAACCATAACTTTTCTCTGCTAACTGTAACTATTTAGCATTAACATAAAGCAAAAAGAAAGTATCTCCCACAATCCTGGAACGGAAGTCAATTTCTACACCTCTTTCATGAACTAGCACATGGTCTCTCTCTCTGGTCTCTCTCTGGTCTCTCTCTCTGGTCTCTCTCTGGTCTCTCTCTGGCCTCTCTCTGGTCTCTCTCTGGTCTCTCTCTGGTCTCTCTCTGGTCTCTCTCTGGTCTCTCTCTGGTCTCTCTCTCTCTGGTCTCTCTCTCTGGTCTCTCTCTCTGGTCTCTCTCTGGTCTCTCTCTGGTCTCTCTCTCTGGTCTCTCTCTGGTCTCTCTCTCTGGTCTCTCTCTCTGGTCTCTCTCTCTGGTCTCTCTCTGGTCTCTCTGGTCTCTCTCTCTGGTCTCTCTCTGGTCTCTCTCTCTGGTCTCTCTCTGGTCTCTCTGGTCTCTCTCTCTGGTCTCTCTCTGGTCTCTCTCTCTGGTCTCTCTCTCTGGTCTCTCTCTCTGGTCTCTCTCTCTGGTCTCCCTCTGGTCTCTCTCTCTGGTCTCTCTCTCTGGTCTCTCTCTGGTCTCTCTCTCTGGTCTCTCTCTCTGGTCTCTCTGGTCTCTCTCTCTGGTCTCTCTCTGGTCTCTCTCTCTGGTCTCTCTCTGGTCTCTCTCTCTGGTCTCTCTCTCTGGTCTCTCTCTCTGGTCTCTCTCTCTGGTCTCCCTCTGGTCTCTCTCTCTGGTCTTTCTCTCTGGTCTCTCTCTGGTCTCTCTCTCTGGTCTCTCTCTCTGGTCTCTCTCTGGTCTCTCTCTCTGGTCTCTCTCTCTGGTCTCTCTCTGGTCTCTCTCTCTGGTCTCTCTCTCTGGTCTCTCTCTGGTCTCTCTCTCTGGTCTCTCTCTCTGGTCTCAGATCAAAGACAGAGGGTTTAATAGTATCTTTATTTTCTCATTCATTTGTTTCAAACAGTTTTAGTGAAGTTTGGAGAAACAGCGAAGAAGCAAACGATCCGCGCTGCAGATCATAACACACAGAGGAGTGTGACATCATCAGTGTGTGACATCACCACAGTGTGACATCACCACAGTGTGACATCATCAGTGTGTGACATCACCACAGGACACACAGAAACCACAGATCTAAGTCCAAACTGGTGATGTCACACGTTTATGAGAGGAGTTTACTTTGACACTAAGTCAATCGGAGCCACACTTCACTATGAGCACTTCCCTAATGGCCTGCAATGAGCTAGCTTTCTAGCATTGTCCTTCTCTAACAGTCAAAAGTCCAGACAGGTGTGGACCAGTGGATTGTGGGTAGTGTAGTTTAGGTCGACATCTGCATAAAGGATAAAAACAGACAATGAAACACAAACATTTTAATACCAGAGAGAGAGACCAGAGAGAGAGACAAGAGAGAGAGACAAGAGAGAGAGACAAGAGAGAGAGACCAGAGAGAGACCAGAGAGAGAGACCAGAGAGAGAGACCAGAGATAGACCAGAGAGAGAGACCAGAGAGAGAGACCAGAGAGAGAGAGAGAGACAAGAGAGAGAGAGACCAGAGAGAGACCAGAGAGAGACCAGAGAGAGAGACCAGAGAGAGAGACCAGAGAGAGAGAGACAAGAGAGAGAGAGACCAGAGAGAGAGACAAGAGAGAGAGACCAGAGAGAGACCAGAGAGAGAGACCAGAGAGAGAGACCAGAGATAGACCAGAGAGAGACCAGAGAGAGAGACCAGAGAGAGAGAGACAAGAGAGAGAGAGACCAGAGAGAGACCAGAGAGAGACCAGAGAGAGAGACCAGAGAGAGAGACCAGAGAGAGAGAGACAAGAGAGAGAGAGACCAGAGAGAGAGAGACCAGAGAGAGACCAGAGAGAGACAGACCAGAGAGAGAGACCAGAGAGAGAGAGACCAGAGAGAGACCAGAGAGAGAGACCAGAGAGAGAGAGACAAGAGAGAGAGAGACCAGAGAGAGAGAGACCAGAGAGAGAGACCAGAGAGAGACCAGAGAGAGACAAGAGAGAGACCAGAGAGAGACCAGAGAGAGAGACCAGAGAGAGACCAGAGAGAGACCGGAGAGAGAGACCAGAGAGAGACCAGAGAGAGACCAGAGAGAGAGACCAGAGAGAGAGAGACAAGAGAGAGAGAGACCAGAGAGAGACCAGAGAGAGAGACCAGAGAGAGACCAGAGAGAGAGACCAGAGAGAGAGACCAGAGAGAGAGAGACAAGAGAGAGAGAGACCAGAGAGAGACCAGAGAGAGACCAGAGAGAGAGACCAGAGAGAGAGACCAGAGAGAGACCAGAGAGAGAGACCAGAGAGAGAGACCAGAGAGAGAGAGACAAGAGAGAGAGAGACCAGAGAGAGAGAGACCAGAGAGAGACCAGAGAGAGACAAGAGAGAGACAAGAGAGAGAGAGACCAGAGAGAGAGACCAGAGAGAGACCAGAGAGAGAGACCAGAGAGAGAGACCAGAGAGAGAGACCAGAGAGAGAGACCAGAGAGAGAGAGACCAGAGAGAGACCAGAGAGAGAGACCAGAGAGAGAGACCAGAGAGAGAGAGACAAGAGAGAGAGACCAGAGAGAGAGAGACCAGAGAGAGACCAGAGAGAGACAGACCAGAGAGAGAGACCAGAGAGAGAGAGACCAGAGAGAGAGAGACCAGAGAGAGACCAGAGAGAGACCAGAGAGAGAGACCAGAGAGAGAGAGACAAGAGAGAGAGAGACCAGAGAGAGAGAGACCAGAGAGAGACCAGAGAGAGACCAGAGAGAGACAAGAGAGAGACCAGAGAGAGACCAGAGAGAGAGACCAGAGAGAGACCAGAGAGAGACCGGAGAGAGAGACCAGAGAGAGACCAGAGAGAGACCAGAGAGAGAGACCAGAGAGAGAGAGACAAGAGAGAGAGAGACCAGAGAGAGACCAGAGAGAGAGACCAGAGAGAGACCAGAGAGAGAGACCAGAGAGAGAGAGACAAGAGAGAGAGAGACCAGAGAGAGACCAGAGAGAGACCAGAGAGAGAGACCAGAGAGAGAGACCAGAGAGAGACCAGAGAGAGAGACCAGAGAGAGAGACCAGAGAGAGAGAGACAAGAGAGAGAGAGACCAGAGAGAGAGAGACCAGAGAGAGACCAGAGAGAGACCAGAGAGAGACAAGAGAGAGAGAGACCAGAGAGAGAGACCAGAGAGAGACCAGAGAGAGAGACCAGAGAGAGAGACCAGAGAGAGAGACCAGAGAGAGAGACCAGAGAGAGAGACCAGAGAGAGAGACCAGAGAGAGAGACCAGAGAGAGAGACCAGAGAGAGAGACCAGAGAGAGGGACCAGAGAGAGGGACCAGAGAGAGAGACCAGAGAGAGGGACCAGAGAGAGACCAGAGAGAGAGACCAGAGAGAGACCAGAGAGAGAGACCAGAGAGAGACCAGAGAGAGGGACCAGAGAGAGACCAGAGAGAGACAAGAGAGAGACAAGAGAGAGAGAGACCAGAGAGAGAGACCAGAGAGAGACCAGAGAGAGAGACCAGAGAGAGAGACCAGAGAGAGAGACCAGAGAGAGAGACCAGAGAGAGAGACCAGAGAGAGAGAGACCAGAGAGAGAGAGAGAGAGACCAGAGAGAGACCAGAGAGAGACCAGAGAGAGGGACCAGAGAGAGAGACCAGAGAGAGGGACCAGAGAGAGACCAGAGAGAGAGACCAGAGAGAGACCAGAGAGAGAGACCAGAGAGAGACCAGAGAGAGGGACCAGAGAGAGACCAGAGAGATAAAAATGCAATCCTTTTGCTTTAGAAAACGTCTCTGAGTATGATGTCATAGTGATGTCACTGAGGTACAATGACGTCATACTGTTACGGGAGATTTCAGACAGAAGGGGGCGGAGCTACAGTCTGCGTCAGATGTTAGCGAGGAGGTTCTCTCGTGCTCCTCTCCCTCGGGTATCCATGGTTACTCTGCAGGGGGGTTTCTCACAGCTCCTCGCTCTCGTACAGCGGCGCCGTGTGTGATTGACCCGCGTCGCTCGCCGAGACGTGGCTCAAGGACGACAGCAACTTCAACGTCTTGGAACCAGGGGGCGCTGTCTTCATCGTAGGAGTACTGCGAGCTGAGAGAGAGACCATCAAACCAGAGACCAGAGAGAGGCCAGAGAGAGACCAGAGAGAGGCCAGAGAGGGACCAGAGAGAGACCAGAGAGAGGCCAGAGAGAGACCAGAGAGAGGCCAGAGAGAGGCCAGAGAGAGACCGGAGAGAGACACCAGAGAGGTACCAGAGAGAGACCAGAGAGAGACCAGAGAGGCCAGAGAGAGAGAGACCAGAGAGAGACCAGAGAGAGACCAGAGAGAGACCAGAGAGGCCAGAGAGAGAGAGACCAGAGAGAGACCGGAGAGAGACACCAGAGAGGTACCAGAGAGAGACCAGAGAGACACCAGAGAGGTACCAGAGAGAGACCAGAGAGAGACCAGAGAGGTCAGAGAGAGACCAGAGAGAGAGAAACCGGAGATAGACACCAGAGACCAGAGAGAGACCAGAGAGAGAGACCAGAGAGAGACCGGAGAGAGAGACCAGAGAGAGACACCAGAGACGAGAGAGACCAGAGAGAGAGACCAGAGAGAGACCAGAGAGAGAGACCAGAGAGAGACCAGAGAGAGAGACCAGAGAGAGACCGGAGAGAGAGACCAGAGAGAGACACCAGAGACCAGAGAGAGAGTTGTTTTAAGACGTTGCTATTAACAAAAAGGACCTGCAGTGTTTACGCCACACCTGAAAACCATGTAGTTGTAACTTGAGGCCTGTAGGAGACTGTAGAGTAGAGTATTGTCAAGTCGAGTAGGGTAGAGTAGGGTAGAGGAGAGTAGAGTAGAGTAGGGTAAGGTAGGGTAGAGTAGAGTAAAGTAGAGTAGAGTAGAGTAGAGCATTGTAGGGTAGAGTAGGGTAGAGTAGAGTAGGGTAGGGTAGAGTAGGGTAGAGTAGAGTAGAGTAGAGTAGGGTAGAGTAGAGTAGGGTAGGGTAGAGTAGGGTAGAGTAGAGTAGGGTAGAGTAGATTAGAGTAGGGTAGAGTAGGGTAGGGTAGAGTAGAGTAGGGTAGAGTAGAGTAGATTAGAGTAGAGTAGGGTAGAGTAGAGTAGGGTAGAGTAGGGTAGGGTAGAGTAGAGTAGAGTAGAGTAGAGTAGATTAGAGTAGGGTAGAGTAGAGTAGGGTAGGGTAGGGTAGAATAGAGTAGGGTAGGGTAGATAGAAGGTAGAGTAAGGTAGAGTAGGGTTAGGTAGGGTAGGGTAGTAGTAGAGTAGAGTAAGGTAGAGTAGGGTAGAGTATAGTATAGGGTAGAGTAGAGTAGAGTAGAGTAGTAAGGTAGGGGTAGAGTAGGAGTAGGGTAGAGTAGAAGTAGAGTAGGGTAGAGTAGGTAGAGTAGAGTAGAGTAGAGTCAGTCGGGTAGGGTAGAGTAGTGTAGAGTAGGGTAGAGTGAAGTAGGGTAGGGTAGGGTAGAGTATAGTAGAGTAGAGTAGGGTAGGGTAGAGTAGAGTAGAGTAGGGTAGGGTACGAGTATCGTAGAGTAGAGTAGAGTAGAGTAGGGTTAGAGTAGGATAGGGTAGAGTAGAGTAGGGTAGGGTAGAGTAGGGTAGTAGTAGAGTAGAGTAGAGGAGAGTAGGGTAGATTAGAGTAGAGGGAGAGTAGGGTAGGGTAGGGTAGAGTAGGGTAGAGTAGGGTAGGGTAGGGTAGAGTAGGGTAGAGTAGAGTAGAGTAGGGTAGAGTAGAGTAGGGTAGAGTAGAGTAGAGTAGGTTTAGTAGGGTAGAGTAGAGTAGGGTAGAGTAGGGGTAGAGTAGAGTAGAGTAGGGTAGAGTAGAGTAGGGTAGAGTAGAGTAGGGTAGAGTCGAGTAGAGTAGGGTAGAGTAGAGTAGAGTAGAGTAGGGTAGAGCAGAGTAGAGTAGGGTAGAGTAGGTAGAGTAGAGTAGGGTAGAGTAGAGTAGGTAGAGTAGAGTAGAGTAGGGTAGAGTAGAGTAGAGTAGGGTAGGGTAGAGTAGAGTAGAGTAGGGGGATAGAGTAGAGTAGAGTTGGGTTTGGGAGTGTAGAGTAGGGTGAGCTAGAGTAGTTTCGAGTAGATTAGAGTAGGGTAGAGTAGAGTAGAGTAGGGTAGAGTAGGGTAGGGTAGGGCTAGAGTAGAGTAGAGTAGGGTAGAGGAGATTAGAGTAGAGTAGGGTAGGGTAGAGTAGAGGGTAGAGTAGTGTAGAGTTGAGTAGAGTAGTGGTAGAGTGATTAGAGCTAGAGTAGAGTAGAGTAGGGTAGAAGTAGAGTAGGGGTAGAGTAGAGTAGAGTAGGGTAGAGTAGACGTAGGGTAGAGTAGCAGTAGAGTAGGTGTTAGAGTAGAGGTAGATGTTAGAGTAGTGGGTTAGTGTAGTGTAGAGTAGGGTTAGGGTAGAGTAGTAGGGTAGGGGTGTAGAGTAGAGTTGGTAGAGTAGATCCTTAGAGTGGAGTAGGATTAGAGTAGAGTAGGGTTTAGGGTAGGGTAGGGGTAGAGTAGATAGAGTAGGGTAGAGTAGGATTAGAGTAGGGGTAGGGTAGGGTAGGGTAGAAGTAGGGTTGATTAGGTCGGGGTAGAGTAGAGTAGTAGAGTACGAGTCAGTAGAGTAGGGTAGGGTAGGGTTAGGGTAGAGTTAGGGTAGTAGAGTAGAGTAGAGGGGTAGAGTAGAGTAGAGTAGAGGTAGAGTAGAGGTAGAGTAGAGTAGAGTAGAGGGTAGAGTAGGTAGTGTAGAGTAGGGTAGGGTAGAGTAGAGTAGAGTAGAGTAGAGTAGGGTAGGGTAGAGTAGAGTAGAGTAGAGTAGAGTAGAGTAGAGTAGAGTAGAGTAGAGTAGAGAGTACTCACCGCTGACGTCGAGGCGGGCGTGGCAGGTGGACATCCCGGCCTCGTTAATGGCTGACAGAGTGTACCAGCCGGCGTCGGCCTTCACCACACGCTCAACCATCAAACACTGCCTGCCTGAGCCGTCCTGGTACAGACTGAGGAGAGAGACCAGAGAGAGAGACCCTGTGAGAGAGACCCTGTCAGAGAGACCCTGTCAGAGAGACCAGAGAGACCCTGTGAGAGAGACCCTGTGAGAGAGACCAGAGAGACTCAGTGAGAGAGACCAGAGAGACCCTGTGAGAGAGACCAGAGAGACCCTGTGAGAGAGACCAGAGAGACCCTGAGAGAGAGACCAGAGAGACCCTGTGAGATCCTGTGAGAGAGACCAGACAGACCCTGTGAGATCCTGTGAGAGAGACCCTGTGATAGAGACCAGACAGACCCTGTGAGACCCTGTGAGAGAGACCAGAGAGACCCTGTGAGACCCTGTGAGAGAGACCAGACAGACCCTGTGAGATCCTGTGAGAGAGACCCTGTGAGAGAGACCAGAGAGACCCTGTGAGAGAGACCAGACAGACCCTGTGAGACCCTGTGAGAGAGACCAGAGAGACCCTGTGAGAGAGACTAGAGAGACCCTGTGAGAGAGACCAGAGAGACCCTGTGAGAGAGACTAGAGAGACCCTGTGAGAGAGACCAGAGAGACCCTGTGAGAGAGACTAGAGAGACCCTGTGAGAGAGACCAGAGAGACCCTGTGAGAGAGACCAGAGAGACCCTGAGAGAGAGACCAGAGAGACCCTGTGAGATCCTGTGAGAGAGACCAGACAGACCCTGTGAGATCCTGTGAGAGAGACCAGACAGACCCTGTGAGATCCTGTGAGAGAGACCCTGTGAGAGAGACCAGAGAGACCCTGTGAGAGAGACCAGACAGACCCTGTGAGACCCTGTGAGAGAGACCAGAGAGACCCTGTGAGAGAGACCAGACAGACCCTGTGAGACCCTGTGAGAGAGACCAGAGAGACCCTGTGAGAGAGACCAGACAGACCCTGTGAGATCCTGTGAGAGACCCTGTGAGAGAGACCAGAGAGACCCTGTGAGAGAGACCAGACAGACCCTGTGAGAGAGACCAGAGAGACCCTGTGAGACCCTGTGAGAGAGACCAGAGAGACCCTGTGAGAGAGACCAGACAGACCCTGTGAGACCCTGTGAGAGAGACCAGAGAGACCCTGTGAGAGAGACCCTGTGAGTCCGGTCTATGAATCAAACACATGGACAACGTGAATCAACTCTTCAAGTAATCTAAACAACAAAAGTAATCTTACTCTGTCCAAGCATCTGCGACTCCCGGTCTATGTTAGCGTAGCACCTAGCATAATCACTGGCTAATGTTAGCGTAGCACCTAGCATAATTAAGATAAGATAAGATGTGCTTTATTTATCTCACAGGAGAAATGTACATGTCACATTTGTCATGGATAGAACACTCAGATTGTGCAAAAGGAGGAAATGTGCAAACATGTTACATGCAGGATATATGTACAATAAAGTGACATTTAAACCCTCATTTAAAGTGACTTATTGTACAGTCTGACAGCGGTGGGGATAAAGGCCCTGCGGTAGCGCTCCTTCCTACACTGAGGGTGTCTCAGTCTTCCACTGAATTATTGGCAAATGTTAGCGTAGCAGCTAGAATCATCACTGGCTAACGTCTGCTGGGTCCTAAAGAGTCAGAGCACCAGAGTCTGCTGGGTCCTAAAGAGTCAGAACACCAGAGTCTGCTGGGTCCTAAAGAGTCAGAACACCAGAGTCTGCTGGGTCCTAAAGAGTCAGAACACCAGAGTCTGCTGGGTCCTAAAGAGTCAGAACAGCAGAGTCTGCTGGGTCCTAAAGAGTCAGAACACCAGAGTCTGCTGGGTCCTAAAGAGTCAGAACACCAGAGTCTGCTGGGTCCTAAAGAGTCAGAACACCAGAGTCTGCTGGGTCCTAAAGAGTCAGAACACCAGAGTCTGCTGGGTCCTAAAGAGTCAGAGCACCAGAGTCTGCTGGGTCCTAAAGAGTCAGAGCACCAGAGTCTGCTGGGTCCTAAAGAGTCAGAACACCAGAGTCTGCTGGGTCCTAAAGAGTCAGAACACCAGAGTCTGCTGGGTCCTAAAGAGTCAGAACACCAGAGTCTGCTGGGTCCTAAAGAGTCAGAACACCAGAGTCTGCTGGGTCCTAAAGAGTCAGAACACCAGAGTCTGCTGGGTCCTAAAGAGTCAGAACACCAGAGTCTGCTGGGTCCTAAAGAGTCAGAACACCAGAGTCTGCTGGGTCCTAAAGAGTCAGAACACCAGAGTCTGCTGGGTCCTAAAGAGTCAGAACACCAGAGTCTGCTGGGTCCTAAAGAGTCAGAACACCAGAGTCTGCTGGGTCCTAAAGAGTCAGAGCACCAGAGTCTGCTGGGTCCTAAAGAGTCAGAACACCAGAGTCTACTGGGTCCTAAAGAGTCAGAACAGCAGAGTCTGCTGGGTCCTAAAGAGTCAGAGCACCAGAGTCTACTGGGTCCTAAAGAGTCAGAACAGCAGAGTCTGCTGGGTCCTAAAGAGTCAGAACACCAGAGTCTGCTGGGTCCTAAAGAGTCAGAACACCAGAGTCTGCTGGGTCCTAAAGAGTCAGAACACCAGAGTCTGCTGGGTCCTAAAGAGTCAGAACACCAGAGTCTGCTGGGTCCTAAAGAGTCAGACACCAGAGTCTACTGGGTCCTAAAGAGTCAGAACACCAGAGTCTGCTGGGTCCTAAAGAGTCAGAACACCAGAGTCTGCTGGGTCCTAAAGAGTCAGAACGCCAGAGTCTGCTGGGTCCTAAAGAGTCAGAACACCAGAGTCTGCTGGGTCCTAAAGAGTCAGAACACCAGAGTCTGCTGGGTCCTAAAGAGTCAGAACACCAGAGTCTGCTGGGTCCTAAAGAGTCAGAACACCAGAGTCTGCTGGGTCCTAAAGAGTCAGAACAACAGAGTCCGCTGGGTCCTAAAGAGTCAGAACACCAGAGTCTGCTGGGTCCTAAAGAGTCAGTCCTGGGTCTACAGCCTCAGTCCTGGCCCGAGTCTCAGTCGGACCTCATCCTGTTGGGGTCCAGGCGGAGCATGTCCTTGTCCTTCTTCCAGAACAGCTGAGGAGGAGGAGCGGCGTCCACCTTACACTCCAGACGCACAGTGTCGCCCTCTAGAGCGCGGGAGTTCAACATCTTCTCCACAAATGTAGGAGGACGCAGGGCCTCCTGAGCTGGGGAACAGAGAATACAGCTCACAGAGAGACCAGAGAGACCAGAGAGAGACCAGAGAGACCAGAGAGAGACCAGAGAGAGACCAGAGAGAGACCAGAGAGAGACCAGAGAGAGACCAGAGAGACCAGAGAGAGACCAGAGAGAGACCAGAGAGACCAGAGAGAGACCAGAGAGAGACCAGAGAGACCAGAGAGAGACCAGAGAGAGACCAGAGAGACCAGAGAGAGACCAGAGAGAGACCAGAGAGAGACCAGAGAGAGACCAGAGAGACCAGAGAGAGACCAGAGAGAGACCAGAGAGAGACCAGAGAGAGACCAGAGAGAGAGACCAGAGAGAGAGACCAGAGAGAGACCAGAGAGAGACCAGAGAGAGAGACCAGAGAGAGAGACCAGAGAGACCAGAGAGAGACCAGAGAGAGACCAGAGAGACCAGAGAGAGACCAGAGAGAGACCAGAGAGAGACCAGAGAGAGACCAGAGAGACCAGAGAGAGACCAGAGAGAGACCAGAGAGACCAGAGAGAGACCAGAGAGAGACCAGAGAGAGACCAGAGAGAGAGACCAGAGAGAGAGACCAGAGAGAGACCAGAGAGAGAGACCAGAGAGAGAGACCAGAGAGAGACCAGAGAGAGACCAGAGAGAGACCAGAGAGAGAGACCAGAGAGAGAGACCGACCAGAGAGACCAGAGAGAGACCAGAGAGAGAGAGAGACCAGAGAGAGACCAGAGAGAGACCAGAGAGAGACCAGAGAGAGAGACCAGAGAGAGACCAGAGAGAGAGACCAGAGAGAGAGACCAGAGAGAGAGACCAGAGAGAGAGACCAGAGAGAGAGACCAGAGAGAGAGACCAGAGAGAGAGACCAGAGAGACCGACCAGAGAGAGACCAGAGAGAGAGACCAGAGAGAGAGACCAGAGAGAGAGACCAGAGAGAGAGACCAGAGAGAGAGACCAGAGAGACCGACCAGAGAGACCAGAGAGACCAGAGAGAGACCAGAGAGAGACCAGAGAGAGAGACCAGAGAGATAGACCAGAGAGATAGACCAGAGAGAGAGAGACCAGAGAGAGAGACCAGAGAGAGAGACCAGAAAGAGACCAGAAAGAGAGACCAGAGAGAGAGACCAGAGAGAGAGTACCGATGACGTCGAGCCTGATGCTGAAGCGACTCTCTCCCGCTCGGTTCCGGGCCACACACTCGTAGACTCCGGCGTGATGAACCGTCACGATCTCGATGATGAACGAGTGCAGAGCTTTCTCACACACCAGCATCTTATGGTAGTCATCTGGTCTGATCGCTTTACCATCAAGGTACCAGCTGACGTCTGGAGTGGGGAGGCCACCCACCTGTGTGTGAGAGAGTGAGAGTGAGAGAGAGAAATAGCAAAACTTGTTAACATGTTAGCATATTAGCATGTTAGTGTACAAACATATTAGCATGTTAGCATATTAGCATGTTAGTGTACAAACATATTAGCATGTTAGCATATTAGCATGTTAATGTGTAAACATGTTAGCGTGGTAGCATTTTAGCATGTTAAAGGCAGTGTGATAGCATTTTAACATGTTAGCTTGTTAGCATATTAGCATTTTAGTGTGTTGCATGTTAGCATGGTAGCATATTAGCGCGTTAGGATGTTAGTATTTTAACATGTTAGCATTTTAGCATGTTAGTGTTGTGGCTGCTGGTGTAACGACGGTTTACACTGCCCTGTCGAGATGCACTGCCTCAGCTGTTAATGATGTGATGCAAACCTGTGCGTCTCACGGCAGCTGAAGCAAACCAAGATGGCCGACATGGAGTCTGAACGGATTAAGACACAAATGTCACGTTTACTGCAATTTGAGGCGAGATGTTGATGGTTCTGCAGTGTCACATGATCCTGTGGAACTACACAGCTGCTGTGTGATAGCAGTCATATTGACTCCTGTGGAACTACACAGCAGCTGTGTGATAGTCATATTGACTCCTGTGGAACTACACAGCTGCTGTGTGATAGCAGTCATATTGACTCCTGTGGAACTACACAGCTGCTGTGTGATAGCAGTCATATTGACTCCTGTGGAACTACACAGCTGCTGTGTGATAGCAGTCATATTGACTCCTGTGGAACTACACAGCTGCTGTGTGATAGCAGTCATATTGACTCCTGTGAAACTACACAGCTGCTGTGTGATAGCAGTCATATTGACTCCTGTGGAACTACACTGCAGCTGTGTGATAGCAGTCATATTGACTCCTGTGAAACTACACAGCTGCTGTGTGATAGCAGTCATATTGACTCCTGTGGAACTACACAGCTGCTGTGTGATAGCAGTCATATTGACTCCTGTGGAACTACACAGCTGCTGTGTGATAGCAGTCATATTGACTCCTGTGAAACTACACAGCTGCTGTGTGATAGCAGTCATATTGACTCCTGTGAAACTACACAGCTGCTGTGTGATAGCAGTCATATTGACTCCTGTGGAACTACACAGCTGCTGTGTGATAGCAGTCATATTGACTCCTGTGAAACTACACAGCTAATGTTATGATAGCAGCCTCCGCGGCTGCTGACGTAGGCTGCTGACGTAGGCTGATGACGTAGGCTGATGACGTAGACTGCTGACGTAGGCTGCTGACGTAGGCTGATGACGTAGGCTGCTGACGTAGGCTGATGACGTAGGCTGCTGACGTAGGCTGATGACGTAGGCTGCTGACGTAGGCTGCTGACGTAGACTGCTGACGTAGACTGCTGACGTAGGCTGATGACATAGGCTGATGACGTTGGCTGCTGACGTAGGCTGCTGACGTAGGCTGATGACGTAGGCTGATGACGTTGGCTGCTGACGTAGGCTGATGACGTAGGCTGATGACGTAGGCTGCTGACGTGGGCTGATGACGTGGGCTGCTGACGTAGGCTGATGACGTTGGCTGATGACGTGGGCTGCTGACGTGGGCTGCTGACGTAGGCTGATGACGTGGGCTGATGACGTTGGCTGCTGACGTAGGCTGATGACGTAGGCTGATGACGTAGGCTGCTGACGTAGGCTGATGACGTGGGCTGCTGACGTGGGCTGCTGACGTAGGCTGATGACGTGGGCTGATGACGTAGGCTGATGACGTAGGCTGATGACGTTGGCTGCTGACGTAGGCTGATGACGTAGGCTGATGACGTTGGCTGCTGACTCAGGCTGCTGACGTAGGCTGATGACGTAAGCTGATGACGTAGGCTGCTGACGTTGGCTGATGACGTAGGCTGCTGACGTTGGCTGATGACGTAGGCTGCTGACGTAGGCTGATGACGTGGGCTGCTGACGTGGGCTGATGACGTAGGCTGATGACGTAGGCTGATGACGTAGGCTGCTGACGTAGGCTGATGACGTAGGCTGATGACGTTGGCTGATGACGTGGGCTGATGACGTGGGCTGATGACGTAGGCTGATGACGTAGGCTGCTGACGTAGGCTGATGACGTAGGCTGCTGGCGTAGGCTGATGACGTGGGCTGCTGACGTGGGCTGATGACGTAGGCTGATGACGTAGGCTGCTGACGTAGGCTGATGACGTAGGCTGATGACGTAGGCTGATGACGTTGGCTGATGACGTAGGCTGCTGACGTTGGCTGATGACGTAGGCTGCTGACGTAGGCTGATGACATGGGCTGCTGACGTGGGCTGATGACGTAGGCTGATGACGTAGGCTGATGACGTAGGCTGCTGACGTAGGCTGATGACGTAGGCTGATGACGTTGGCTGATGACGTGGGCTGATGACGTGGGCTGATGACGTAGGCTGATGACGTAGGCTGATGACGTAGGCTGCTGACGTAGGCTGATGACGTAGGCTGATGACGTAGGCTGATGACGTAGGCTGATGACGTAGGCTGATGACGTAGGCTGATGACGTAGCTGATGACGTAGGCTGCTGACGTTGGCTGATGACGTGGGCTGATGACGTAGGCTGATGACGTAGACTGCTGACGTAGGCTGCTGACGTAGGCTGCTGACGTAGGCTGCTGACGTAGGCTGATGACGTAGGCTGCTGACGTAGGCTGATGACGTAGGCTGCTGACGTAGGCTGATGACGTAGGCTGATGACGTAGGCTGATGACGTAGGCTGCTGACATAGGCTGATGACGTAGGCTGATGACGTAGGCTGATGACGTAGACTGCTGACGTAGGCTGCTGACGTAGGCTGATGACGTAGGCTGATGACGTAGGCTGATGACGTAGGCTGATGACGTTGGCTGCTGACGTAGGCTGATGACGTAGCCTGATGACGTAGGGCTGATGACGTAGGCTGATGACGTGGGCTGATGACGTAGGCTGATGACGTAGGCTGATGACGTAGGCTGATGACGTAGGCTGATGACGTTGGCTGATGACGTAGGCTGATGACGTAGGCTGCTGACGTTGGCTGATGACGTAGGCTGATGACGTTGGCTGATGACGTAGGCTGCTGACGTAGGCTGCTGACGTAGGCTGATGACGTTGGCTGATGACGTAGGCTGATGACGTAGGCTGATGACGTGGGCTGATGACGTAGGCTGATGACGTAGGCTGATGACGTAGGCTGATGACGTTGGCTGATGACGTAGGCTGATGACGTTGGCTGATGACGTAGGCTGATGACGTAGGCTGCTGACGTAGGCTGCTGACGTAGGCTGATGACGTAGGCTGATGACGTAGGCTGCTGACGTAGGCTGCTGACGTAGGCTGATGACGTTGGCTGATGACGTAGGCTGATGACGTTGGCTGATGACGTAGGCTGATGACGTTGGCTGATGACGTAGGCTGATGACGTAGGCTGATGACGTTGGCTGATGACGTAGGCTGCTGACGTAGGCTGCTGACGTAGGCTGATGACGTAGGCTGATGACGTTGGCTGATGACGTAGGCTGATGACGTAGGCTGATGACGTGGGATGATCACGTAGGCTGATGACGTAGGCTGATGACGTTGGCTGATGACGTAGGCTGATGACGTTGGCTGATGACGTAGGCTGCTGACGTAGGCTGCTGACGTAGGCTGCTGACGTAGGCTGATGACGTAGGCTGATGACGTAGGCTGCTGACGTAGGCTGCTGACGTAGGCTGATGACGTAGGCTGATGACGTTGGCTGATGACGTTGGCTGATGACGTAGGCTGCTGACGTAGGCTGCTGACGTATCTCCCATCATGCGTTGCGTCAAACGTGCGTGTGTGGCTTTCATGCACGTGCACAGAGGGGCTCGGCCTCTGACCAATCAGAGCTGTTCATCAGAGCAGCAGGGCGGAGTCAGAGCGAGGAGGCAGGAGCAGAGTTTGTGGCAGAAAAGTGTGGATTTAAAGAAAACCGAAGGATTTAAGAAGAAAAACAGTTCAGGACGACAAGACACACCAGAATATGATCTTTAGGTTCTCTGTCAGGTTCTCTGTCAGGTTCTCTGTCAGGTTCTCTGTCAGGTTCTCTGTCAGGTTCTCTCTGAGGTTCTCTGTCAGGTTCTCAGTCAGGTTCTCAGTCAGGTTCTCTGTCAGGTTCTCTGTCAGGTTCTCTGTAGGTTCTCTGTCAGGTTCTCTGTCAGGTTCTCTGTCAGGTTCTCTGTCAGGTTCTCTCTCAGGTTCTCTGTCAGGTTCTCTGTCAGGTTCTCTCTCAGGTTCTCTCTCAGGTTCTCTGTCAGGTTCTCTCTCCGGTTCTCTGTCAGGTTCTCCGTCAGGTTCTCTCTCAGGTTCTCTCTCAGGTTCTCTCTCAGGTTCTCTGTCAGGTTCTCTGTCAGGTTCTCTCTCAGGTTCTCTCTCAGGTTCTCTGTCAGGTTCTCTGTCAGGTTCTCTCTCAGGTTCTCTCTCAGGTTCTCTCTCAGGTTCTCTCTCAGGTTCTCTGTCAGGTTCTCTGTCAGGTTCTCTCTCAGGTTCTCTCTCAGGTTCTCTGTCAGGTTCTCTCTCAGGTTCTCTCTCAGGTTCTCTCTCAGGTTCTCTCTCAGGTTCTCTGTCAGGTTCTCTGTCAGGTTCTCTGTCAGGTTCTCTGTCAGGTTCTCTGTCAGGTTCTCTCTCAGGTTCTCTCTCAGGTTCTCTCTCAGGTTCTCTCTCAGGTTCTCAGTCAGGTTCTCTCTCAGGTTCTCTGTCAGGTTCTCAGTCAGGTTCTCAGTCAGGTTCTCTGTCAGGTTCTCAGTCAGGTTCTCTGTCAGGTTCTCAGTCAGGTTCTCAGTCAGGTTCTCTCTCAGGTTCTCTGTCAGGTTCTCTGTCAGGTTCTCAGTCAGGTTCTCAGTCAGGTTCTCTCTCAGGTTCTCTGTCAGGTTCTCTCTCAGGTTCTCTGTCAGGTTCTTTGTCAGGTTCTCTCTCAGGTTCTCTCTCAGGTTCTCTCTCAGGTTCTCTGTCAGGTTCTCTGTCAGGTTCTCTGTCAGGTTCTCTGTCAGGTTCTCTGTCAGGTTCTCTCTCAGGTTCTCTCTCAGGTTCTCTGTCAGGTTCTCTCTCAGGTTCTCTGTCAGGTTCTCAGTCAGGTTCTCTGTCAGGTTCTCTGTCAGGTTCTCTGTCAGGTTCTCAGTCAGGTTCTCTCTCAGGTTCTCTCTCAGGTTCTCTGTCAGGTTCTCTGTCAGGTTCTTAGTCAGGTTCTCAGTCAGGTTCTCTGTCAGGTTCTCTGTCAGGTTCTCTGTCAGCTGAGGTCGAGCTGTTTTAGTTCACATTGAGTTCTATGGGACATTTTTCTGGGTAGCCCTCGTACCACAGCGCCCCCTGTGGCCATGGGTGGGACAGCTGTAAGATAGGAATACTCTATCCAGTTATTATTATAGATCCATGGACAACACAGAACCATCAACATCTCGCCTCAAATTGCAGTAAACGTGACATTCGTGTCTTAATCCGTTCAGACTACATGTCGGCCATCTTGGTTTGCTTCAGCTGCCGTGAGACGCACAGGTTTGCATTACATCATTAACAGCTGAGGCAGTGCATCTCGACAGGGCAGTGTAAACCGGCGTTACACTGGATTCGTCCTGAAGTTCAGTTTGCGCATGTCCAAAAGTGTAAATAAACATGTAAACAGTTTGTGTTGTTATAAACATATGTATCAAGGTTTATTACGAGAAATGGCGGAAAAAGAGCTCAGAGAAAAAAGTACTTCACGCAGCTAGCGCCCAGATGCGTTCAAAGGCCCACGGAGATGAGGCTAGCACACAGACAGGTTAATTCTGGATTAGATTCACTGAACTTTACTTGTTTAACTAATAAATACATGTGTTCAACGAGACTTGACTCTCTGAATGTACGATAACAGGATAGATTATTATGTGGTGGTTTTATGGCGCCCTCTCTCGGTCACACACTAAATGTTAAGGAAATGCTAAAAGTATCAAATAAATAAACATTATCCAGCTCTAAAATTGACAAAATAGGAATTAACTTCAAGCGAATCAAGCTAAAACAAAATTGACCTGTAATATTAATTCATTTAACTAGTTCCGGATTTCCGTGAGCCTTTGAACGCATCTGGGCGCTAGCTGCGTGGCTACTAAAAGTACTTTTTTCTCTGAGCTCTTTTTCCGCAATTTCTCATAATAAACCTTGACACATATGAGCACAAATCAACAATATAATCTGTTTATAACAACACAAACTGTTTACATGTTTATTTACACTTTTGGACATGTGCAATCTGAACTTCAGGACGAATCCGGCAGCCACAGTATGTTAGCATTTTTGCATGTTAGCCTGTCAGCTTGTTAGCCTGTTAGCATGTTGGTATGTTAGCATGTTAGCCTGTCAGCTTGTTAGCCTGTTAGCATGTTGGTATGTTAGCATGTTAGCCTGTTAGCATGTTGGTATGTTAGCATGTCAGCCTGTTAGCATGTTGGTATGTTAGCATGTTAGCCTGTTAGCATGTTGGTATGTTAGCATGTTAGCCTGTTAGCATGTTGGTATGTTAGCATGTTAGCCTGTTAGCATGTTGGTATGTTAGCATGTTAGCCTGTTAGCATGTTATTGTGTTAGCATTTTAGTCTTTTAGCATGTTTGCCTGTTAGCATTCTAGTGTGTTAGCATGCTAGTGTGTTAGCATGTTTGCCTGTAATCATATTCGCCTGTAATCATGTTCGCCTGTTAGCATGTTAGCCTGTTAGCATGTTATTGTGTTAGCATTTTAGTCTTTTAGCATGTTTGCCTGTTAGCATTCTAGTGTGTTAGCATGCTAGTGTGTTAGCATGTTTGCCTGTAATCATATTCGCCTGTAATCATGTTCGCCTGTAATCATGTTCGCCTGTTAGCATGTTAGCCTGTTAGCATGTTATTGTGTTAGCATTTTAGTCTTTTAGCATGTTTGCCTGTTAGCATTCTAGTGTGTTAGTATGCTAGTGTGTTAGCATGTTCGCCTGTAATCATGTTCGCCTGTTAGCATGTTAGCCTGTTAGCATGTTATTGTGTTAGCATTTTAGTCTTTTAGCATGTTTGCCTGTTAGCATTCTAGTGTATTAGTATGCTAGTGTGTTAGTATGCTAGTGCGTTAGCATGTTCGCCTGTTAGCATGTTAGCGTGTAGCATGTTAGCATGTCAGACCTTGAAGTCGATGCGGCAGAAGCGGCCCTCCTCCACCGTCAGATCGGGGGGGATCTGCAGGAACCTGGGGGCGTAGCACTTCTCCTGGATGGCAGGTCCCTCTGCGGTCGTCCCATCGGCCCCTGAGTGATGCCGGCCCCTGGAACAGCACAGGTCAGAGGTCAGGGGTCAGAGGTCAGGGACTGCTCCTTCTGAGAAACACTGGAGGATAGTTACCACAGGCCCCCGGTGTGGCGGCCCTCAGGGGGGTCCAT